TTCCTTCCTTCCTTCCTTCCTTCCTTCCTTCCTTCCTTCCTTCCTTCCTTCCTTCCTTCCTTCCTGTCCTTTCTTCCCTTTTTTTTAAAATTCTATTTTGAGAAGCCATTGCTATGTAGTCTTAACTGACCTTGAATTTATGATCTTCCATCTTTAGCCTCCCAAATTCCAGGATTCCAAGTGTGTACCACTATGCAATTTGGGGGAAAAGGTTCTCATTTATACTTTTAAAGGCCATTGATCCAACGTTTTCTCTAAGAAAACTGGAGATGTTTATTGGGAAACAGTGGACAAGGCAGGTCCAGAGGGATGCCTGGTCTGGTTTCCTTTCCCCTAGCTGGGCTGCCTTATCTGGCCTCAGTGGGAGAGAATGCCCTTAGTCCTGCTGTGACTTGGGGTGCCAGAGTGGGTTGGTATCTCTTCGGGGCCCCCTTTCTTTGAAAAGAAGTAGAGGGGGGAATGGGAGGAGAGGGGTGTGAGGGTGGAACTGGGTGAAGATGAGGGAGGGGCTGATATCAGACTATAAAGTGATTTTTTAAAAAAATAAGAAAAGAGGAGCCTGCAGGGGTCAGCCTAGGGGAATATCAAGAGCAGGTAGATTCCTGGGCTTCAGCTAAAGTTCCAGACACTAGATGGGGGCTCCACATTTTATAACTTACTGTACTTTTCATTTCTTCTCAAATTGCATGTGTTAAGGGAAGTTAGCCCTTTGAAAGAGTTCTTTTGTTGAAAATTGAATTCTTTTCAGTACTAATAGGAATACTGACAACATCATGAGCCTTTTCAGAAACAAACAAACAAACAAACAAACAAAAATTCTCAGAATATTGTCTGTCTTTTTATTGCTGTATGATTTTGCCTGAGGGATGGGGAGATAGTTCAGTTAGTAAAATTCTTCCTGTACCTGCACTGAACCCCCAGCATTCAAGCCAAAAATTGGGCAACTGCCTATAATCTTGCTATTCGAGAGGCAAGGGCAGGTAGATCCCTGGCGCCCACTGGTCAGCCACCATAGCCTAACCAGCGGATGGCAAGTTTGTGAGAGACCGTGTCTCCAAACCAACCAACCAACCAACCACAACTGAATGAGGAAGATGGCTTCTGAGGAATGATGCCCGAGTTTGACCTCTATACCTTTTCCCTCAAATGTGTTCCTACAGAAGTTTTATGAAGTGATCGAATGTTTGTGATGGTGGATTTATTTTGGCAGGGACCATTCATAGCAGGCTTTGCTTCCTCAAACCTCGGAGACGTGTCACCCAACATTCTTGGCCCGCATTGCCTCAACACAGGAGAGTCTTGTGACAACGAGAAAAGCACCTGTCCCACCGGTGGGGTAGGTTGGAAGGGCATGCTTACTTCATGCTTGAATATTCATCATAACATACAAATGTGCTGTTTCTAAGCATACTCTGGCCCGTTGGCCTGTGCGTCCCTGAAGCACTTCGGCAGCTTCTCTTAATTTTAAGTGTGTTGTCACAGTTTTCCATGGTGATGTCAGATGTAGATAGAGATTGTGTGCCATTCCCCGAACCTGTGAAGCTTAAGAAAATTTTACCTTGTAATATCTGAGTTTTTGAGTTTGTACCCCAAACTGCCTGCTATAACATTTCTTACAGACTGCAAATCTACAGTTTTTTTTTCTTTAAAGATTTTCCTTTTTGTTTTCTTAAAATAAAAACTCAGCCTTTCCACAAAAAAAAAAAAATTAAATAACATGAATGCACAAAATAGTAAAAGTTGAAAGTTCTTAAGAGTGACGCTTTAATGTGAATGTCTCCATATGCTCATGTGTTTGAATGTTTGCCCTCCACCCGGTGGAACAACATGGGAAGGATTAGGAGGTGTGGCCTTGTTGGAGGGCATGTGTCACTGGGGATAGGCTCTGAGGTTTCAAAAGACTTATACCATTCCCTGACTCTTTCTCTCTCTGCCTCCTGCTTGTGGATGGAGATGTGAGCTCTCAGCTGCTGTGCCGGGTGGGCACCTGTTTTTGTCACCCACCATCGCAAACTATTACATAAACCGTAAACCCGATTAAACTCTTTTTTTTATGAGTTGCCTTGGCCCTGCTGTTTTACCACAGCGACACCGAAGGAACTGAGACAACCAAGTGCCGCTTGCCTCTTTAATGATTATTATTCATATTCCTCTTCCTATATTTGTTCATGCATTTGTAAAACAATTTTTATGATTTAAGAATTCTAGGACTTCACTTTTGGATATAATTTCCCTTAGAAATTGTTCTATACCTCCATCTATGCGGTAAATTTGTGGGTTAGCTATTAAGGTTTACTCTCGTTTATTTATTTACCTTCTTTACCAGAATTCATCTGAGTCTGTTTCAGCTCTCAAACAGCAGCAGATGCTGGCTTCCTGGTTCTTATTCTTAGTGAAGCAACCCCACCATGTTGCTACTTTTGTTAAATTGCGCTTCTACCCTCCAACCCTGCCCAAATGAGCAGCACAGGTTAACAGTTATACTTTACGGAAGTTATTGTTTTTAGCTAGAAATGTTTCCCTTTTCTTCATTTTCACATTTGTCAGTTTATTGCAATACAATTGATTTGCAAAACATTTTAAGATTACTTGTTAAACTCTATAATTCATAGATGAAATGGTTAAATAAATTATAGAATAATATGCAGTAGGTTATCAAATGTTGGAATGCTGGATGATGTGAGGGACAGCTTATACAACGTGGAGAAATAAATTTGGATTCAATGTTGCATACTCACTTACAATGGCAATTTTTCAAAGTGAATATTATAGTAAAAGAAAAAGCGACACATCTTTAATTGTTAGTGACTATTCTCTTGGCGCTATAATGGCTAGCTTTTGTTTTCCTGCTCGTGTCTTTTCATATTCTTCAACGATGAGCATACTCTACCTTTATAGTTAGAAAAATCACAACAAGACTCTTATTCCCCCTTAATTTGGTTGCTTTCTAATTATGTGGGATTGCATTCCCATATTCTTCCTTGATGTGTTTCTTTGTTTTCATCAAATACATCCTAAACCATAACTAAAGTAACTTTATCATGCTCAGTGTTAAGTACTACTATGTAGTTCACCCATTCCTTTGTATTTTTCTTTCCTGTGTCCTCTTTTCCTTTCTGTGAGAATGCTTGATCGTTGACCTTGTATGTATCTGCACAGGTGTCAGAGTTCCTTCTCAGGATACACTTTAAATTTTATGTTAAAGAGGAAATATAACTAATGCATGCTACATATGACCTGTCTACCTTCTCAGTGGCTTTTCTACTCACCCATGTGTTAGTGACTATTGCCCCAACCTCCATTTAAGCCAAGTGTACTACTCTTTGAGTCCTTGATGGCACAATACACGAAGAGCTGACCCTAGTTTAAATTTCCATTTCATTGTCTGTGAAGTTAAACATGTTTTAATATTGAGTATTTACACACATACACACACAGAGAGAGAGAGAGAGAAAGAGAGAGAGATTCAGAGACAGAGACAGGCAAGCAGATGGACAGAGAGAATATGAATTACCCGTTCCATCTTTAGTCCATTGTACATGTATTATGATTCTTTTTATTGCAAATAAGAGAAACTCCAACTCAACATGGATAAATCAAAGGTGGCACTCTTTTCCTTTTAATCCTTCAAATTTTGGTACAGTACTTGAACAGTTTGTATTCCAGTAACTTGTTACATCCATCTGCAGTGATGTTAGGATAATGAGCATACCCACCTATGTTTTTATATGTTGAAAAATTTGCACTTTTCTTATTATTTTAAATATAGCATATGTTACTGTTGACAGTTGTTGTCCTACTGTGCTAAGGAACCCGAATGAATCCTGTCTAGCCTTGTTTTAGTGCTATCTAACTTCTTTCTGCCGCTTTCCTCTCTGCCCTTCCCATTCTCTAGTGACTGCTCTTCCACCCCACTCTTGCATGAGATCGACTTTTTAGCTTTTACAAGTGAGTGAGAATATGTGGCGCTTTCTCTGTGTGTCTGCGTTATTTCACTGAACAGAAGACCTTTGCTTCCATCCATATTGCTGCAAACAGAATTTCACCCTTTTCATATCTTAGTAGCATTCAATTGTGTATGTATAGCAGTCATCTGTTGATGGGCACTGTGACTGATGTTAGCTCTTATGGATAGTGGTGGAGCAGACAAGGATATGGAAAACATGAATACAATGAGTTTATCTCCCTTACATGGATAAAAGCGGTATATTCTTCTCTTTGAAAAATCTTAAAGTCTCTACCATGTTAAATAACATCTTACATATTTGTCATAAATGTTACAAAATTTTCCCAGCCTACCAATTTTCTATGAGCCTTATTTATACTGTCCTTCCTATGTAGGTGTTTAAAATGTGTAAGATGCCAAATTTACGAAGCCTGCTCTTTATTATTTTTAAGTCTTTTCTTGGTTTCTCAGATTGTGACATTTATTCACCTATATCTTCTTCCCATGTGTTCTTTGTAACATTTGTCATATTTAACTATTTGATCAATCTTAAGCTTTTCTGATCTAAGAAATAGGGTATAGAGTCAGAGTTGTTAATTTTCTTCCCAGGAGGATTGTTCTAACGTAATCTAAATGAGTTTCTGTGTAAGACAGTCTGAGCGAGAGCCCCAGATGAGCATAAGCCAGCAAAAAGGCAGTGAGAGAGGCTACGGCTTCCAGTCCCTTCCCAGAGTTCATTCCTGTGTATTGTACAACAAATCTCTCAACCAAGCTGAAAATTTGTTTTCGAATTTTAAAAGGAAGTTACTGGAATAGATACAATTTAAAAAATATCCCCTGCTCCAAATGCATGCATGATTATGTTTGCCCTAGCCTGTAAGCCTGTAAATTAAGAAAATGTCTGAGAAGAGATGCTAGAATTGGCTTAGCAAATGTGTTTGCTTGGATTCCGTTGTAATTTTCCATTCCTTAAAGCCATCACTCACCGCACTAATGATCGTATTGTCTCACTTTGCCCTAGCCTAGCATGTGCACGGCCAGCGGACCGGGACAAGATATCTTTGACAGCACACAAATTATAGGACGGGTCATCTATCAGAGAGCCAAGGTAGGCACAAGCCCAGCACTTTGCATCTCTGTTTTGTGCTGTTCTTCAACCCACAGACATCATATACCAGGAAGGCAGTAATTGCAAGAAAGGGCACAAGCACTCAGGCTGGCCAGGAAGTCTGAAAGGCTTCGGTTTTTGAGGTTGCCCTTGGGAGCCTCGCAGGACTCTGTCTGAGCTGGCCAGACTTCCTAGTGCATTTAAAACCGAGCAGGCAGGCAGGAAAACGTTCTATTTTAGGAAGCCAGAGTGCCCAGTCTATCAGAAGACAGATAGACTGTAAAGTGTTCAGTGAATGTGGCCCCACACAGGACCAGTCTCATCTAGATTCTCAGAAATCTCTCCAGCCATTGCCTGGCTAAAGTCACCTGACCGCTTGGGAACTTGGCCTGTAGTGACAAGGTTGAGCTGAATGTCTCTGGCACTGTGAATTACCATGTATTTGTATGCGTCTTTGAAAGGGCAAAGGTCGCACTACCTTTCTTTAAAACCAAACATTGTGTTGAAGGAAGAATCCGGTTTGCAATGGGATTGCTATGAATAGCTCCACCTTCCCCCTGCTCCTGACATTTTTGTTTCATTTGTATGATGTATGTATGTATATGCGGGTGCTTTTGGGTGTGAGTGTGCATGTACATATGTGTACATATGTACACATACATGTGGAGGCTCAAGGTCTTGCATAATTGCTCTCCGCTTTGTTATTTGAAGTGTGTGTGTGTGTGTGTGTGTGTGTGTGTGTGTGCGTGTGTCTAACTGACAGGCCAGTAAGCCCCAGGATCCTTATGTCCTTGTCTCCCAGTTTGGGGTTGTAGAAGTGTGCCTCTCTACCTAGCTTTTGCATGGACGCTAGGAACGAAACTGAGATCCTCTTTTTGAATGACATGCACGTTATGGATAGAGCCACCTCCCCAGTGATGTGCTACATTTTGTTTTCCATGCTGTCCCTATTTTTGTAGCTGCTTCTACAGAGATATTTCTGAGGAGAAATGATAAAGAGAAATGGCTTCTCACTGATAACGTCCATGATAATGTTAAATCCTTTGTTTTCTTGGCTGGTATAGACACACAGATATGCGCGCACACACACAAACACACACAGAGACAGACAGATACACACACACACACACACACACACACACACGCCTACTTCTGTTTAAAAGATATTTCCTTCTGAGTTCTAAAATGAATCAGAAGCAATCAAGAAGAGCAAAAGTGCCTTTTCTAAAACTTACCAGACATAAACTCCATAACCACAGGGAGACTGATGGCTGTGGTTTCTTTTTATTCATTGTGCTATTATCAGTGGATTATTCTAAGTTAATAGATTCTTTTTAGGGTGTGCCTGTGACACTCTGGTGTCGGAAATTTTGTTTCTGTCCTCAGCCTGGGAGCAGGAGTGGTTCTGGATTCTCTTGTCAGCAAAGCACCACTTCCCTGGTTATCAGGAGAGAGAGAGGCTGCAGCTGGGTCTCCAGTAGCTTATCTTAAAAGTACATGCTTGGCTGTCAGGGAAGTGGGCCAGGTGTCATGCCACCATACTTTTGCTGAAGTAGGATTTTCCTGTATTGTGTGACACAGATGAATAAGCACCAGTATTCCCAAAAGTATTAAACTTATATTTTTCACACGCTTGGAGAAACATCACTTGACTCTGTGTGTGTGTGTGTGTGTGTGTGTGTGTGTGTGTGTATAAGAGTAACTGTGTGAGGGACCTGAAGTCTTTGAGCCACTGCCTGGCTCCTGTCTTTGGAGAACTCAGGGGTCCTAATGGGGGATTCCATGCCACATCTGCCAGCTGCCAGCCTCACATTCCAGCAAGTGTGAGGTCAGGGCTTTTATGTCATGGTCTGTTTCATGTCGAGTTCTTTTTGTTCATTTTAATTTTAATTTATTATAATTTATTCGCTTTGTATCCCAGTTGTAGCCTCCTCCTTCATTCCCTCCCAATCCTGCCCTCCCTTCCTCATCTCCTCCCATGCCCCTCCCCTAGTCCACTGATAGGGGAGGTCCTCCTCCCTTTCCATCTGACCCTAGTCTATCAGGTCTCATCAGGACTGGCTGCATTGTCCTCCTTTGTGGCCTGGTAAGGCTGCTCCCCACTCAGGAGGAGAGGTGATCAAAGAACCAGCCACTGAGTCCATGTCAGAGACAACCCCTGTTCCCCTTACTAGGGAACCCACTTAGAGAATGAGCTGCCATGGGCTACATCTGTGTAGGGGGTCTAGGTTATCTCCATGCGTGGTACTTGGTTGGAGTATCAGTCTCAGAAAAGACCCCTCGGCCCAGATGTTTTGGTTCTATTGCTCTTCTTATGGAGCTCCTGTCCCCTCCAGATCTTTCTATCTTCCCCTTCTTTCATAAGACTCCCTGTACTCTATTCAAAGTTTGGCTAGGAGTCTCAGCATCTGCTTCTAAAAGGCCTCATGTCAAGTTCTTATTAGAATGAATAGACACAGGTAAACATTCCTGTAGGTTTTAAGTTGTATACAACACTGGGGTTGATGGGGAGGACCTTGGGGTATGTATGGGGGGGGGCGTGAGTAAAGCGAAAGTGTCTTGGGGCAGAAGATACTAGGTGCCAGTGGGAGCATCCGTTTCTCTTGAGTTCTCCTTGGACTGTGAGCCTATGTGGGTTTTCTAGGAGCTGCATGCCTCTGCCTCCCAGGAAGTGACTGGACCAGTGCTCGCAGCTCACCAGTGGGTGAACATGACAGACGTGAGCGTCCTGCTCAATGACACATACGCAGTGAGTATGACAGAGAACACCAACCTTGCTATGTAGGTGGAGCAAAGATCACTGCCGCTTGCTGCTCAACTCGGTTTTTTTCTTTCTTTCTTTTCTCTTTCTTGTTTTATGATCCTTCCTCCAGGTGAAGACGTGTAAGCCTGCCCTGGGCTACAGTTTTGCAGCAGGCACCATTGATGGAGTTTCGGGCCTCAACATTACACAGGGTGAGATGGAGGAGGATGGAATGTGCGCTTCCAGGTTCGGGGGCTTCCGGCTTCACTTCCTAGTGAAGCTTCTCCGTGGCCACTGTGTTTGTGATTTCCATGTCTAACTCAGGCAGTGCCAGGCTGGCTGTGTTTGGGTGTGTGTGATGTCTCAGATTTCCCAGGGATAGGAGTCTTTTTTCCCTGACCTTTGTTAATTCAAATACAAGCAGAAACATATTCTCTTTTCAGCTTATCAAGGAACCTTGGTAATACCATTAGTGTGTGTGTGTATTCGTGTGTGTGTGTGGTGTGTGTGTGTGTGTGTGTGTGTGTGTGTATGTGTGTGTGGATCAGAGGTGTTGGACCTCAAGTGCCCTTCAATTACCATTAGAGACAGGTTCTCCCATTGGCTTGGAAACGGCCATGTAGGCCAGGCTAGCCCTCCTGCTCCTAGGGATCCACCCATTTCACTGTTACGGAGGTTGGAGGTGTGCACTATGCCCCTGCCTTCTTATGTGGGTTCTGGGGCTCTGAACTCAGATCCTCACACTTTGGAGGCGAGCACTTTACTCCCTGGACCACCTTCCCGCCCCCAGGGTATCCATCACTTTAAGCAGCCATTGTTTCTTTGTGATGACAGTGTACAAAGAGTATAATGAAGAGAGAGAGAGAAAAAAAAAACCCAACCTTGAGAATGAGAGAAAATATTTTCAAATAATATATCTGATAAAGGAATTGTGTGTAAAATATATTTTAGGAAACCTCAATAACAGCAATTATTTATTGAGAAATAATTCCCGAGCCATGTGAGTCAGCTACTTAAAGTAGTACATTTGGTGGTTTTTAATATATTGACAGACATACAACTTTCCCAAAGTCAACTTTGGAATTTCCATCCCTCTAACGGAAACGGCTACACCTTTTCTGCCTGTGTATAAGCAAGCCATAATCCTCCCATTGTTAATTTTGCTGCCTCAGACATTTCACTGGGGAACGTACAATATCTGGGTTTTTGTTGTATCTTTTATGTAGCATTGTGCTTTGAAGGTGCATAGAGCTGTGGAGTGAGGGAGCTCTCCACCCCTCCTAGTTATTTGTTTGCCAATTGTTCAGTTGATGGATGTTTTGGTTGTTCCACTTTTTCTTTTTCTTTTTTTGTATATTATGAACAATGCCTCCCTTAGCACACGATGCAAGAGATCGCGTGGGTCTGTGTTTGCAGTTTTCCCTCTTGGATGTGTGTCTAGAAGAGCTAGTCCTAACGGTCCTAACTGGTCCTAACTAGTCCTAACTGGTCCTAACGGTGTTGTAACATCTGAAGCACCATCTTATGACTTCCCAAAGGGCTGCATTGTTTTATGTCTGTGTCTGCCATGCATCTAGTAAAACATCTAGATTTTCCACATCTTGGCCAGTCTGTGTTATCTGGCATGCTGACTCCAGCCAGCGTGTGTGTGGAATGCTGTTTCTTTGTCATTTTGATTTGCATCCCCAAAGAAACTGTTTGTTCATATACTTTTTCTTTGAGTTTGGGTTTTTTTTTAAATTATTGAGTTATGAAGCTTTCTAAAATATAGTTTTGTATGAAATCCCTCACTGGACAAATTATTTGAAAAAATTTTCTTGATTTGATAAGTTGTTTTTGCAATTTCTTGATTATGTTCTTTGAGACACAAACGTCCAGGTAAGTTTCCTTTTTGTTACTAGTGGCTGGCATCACATCAAAAATCATTCACTATCATGAAGGCTTATCCCATAGTTCTAAAAGTTTTATTATGTTAGACCAAAAGCCAGACAGCTGGTATTGCATGTTGAAGTTATCATTATTTGCTTCTAAAGTGATAAAAAGGTGATGCAGTTCAAAAATCTGTGGATTCTATCAAACTGCCTTTACTTATGATATAAACAAGCAAGGTTAGTATAAATACAACTTTGAGAATACCACACAAAATGTATTCTGTTATTGTTTATAAAAATGACAGGCTAATTAGGGGCTATTATTTTGTAACATACAGGAAACACTGCTCCTTCTATTGCTCCAATTGTTGAGGCCATTGGATGACAACCTCAACAAAGTATCTGAAATGTCTAGAATGTTTGTGTGCACTCCTGTCTGAACTATGACATCCTTAGAGGCATAGTAAGTATAAGGAGTCTTATTTATTATAACAATTCTAATAGGAACAACAGAAGGGGATACATTTTGGGACACTCTTCGGGATCAACTCTTGGGAAGACCATCTGAAGAAATCATAGAATGCCAGAAACCTAAACCAATCCTACTTCACACTGGAGAGGTAAGACACTTGATTGTCAATGAAGTCGGGATATTATACTTTGTAGTTAGGTTAAGCCGTCCGTTAATAAATTGCCAATGTTTACGGACATGGAAGATCTTACTTAGATATTCTTACCGAATATGCTATTTATTACTAAGACCTATTTATTACTACTATTTTATTATTATTTATTATTACATGTGCATATGTGTGCGGGGAATGTTTGTCGAAGTCAGAGGATGCTTTCGTGGATTTGATTCACCTTTTGCATTTTCACATGGGTTCTGGAGCACTGAACTCAGTTTTGTGTGGCTGGCGCCTTACCTGCAGCGCCTTCTCTGTTAGCCACACCCCCATGGATCTTTAATATTAAAAAGTTGAATGCTGGTTCCAACTCTAAAGAATTACTACTATTAAATATACCAAGTTAGCTAATTATCAAGAAAAAAACCCTAGGAGATTGGACTATGAAAAAGGAAGACAAACACTCATGCTATTCAGGCTCCAGGGAGGCGGTCTGTGAAGAGTTCTTTGCAGAGGAGAACATCTAGGTCATATAGGACAATGCTCATGTGTCAATTCTCTCACATGTTGTTTACTTAGCTCTTTATATATGTATATATGTATTTCTGTTTGTGTATGTAAGTGTGCATGCATGTATATGTGTGTGGGGGGGTGGTATGTGGAGACCAGAGGTGACCTCAGATGTTATTCTCTGGAGTACACACCTTATATTTTGAGACATGGTCTCTCACTGGGATCTGGGGCTCACTAATTAGTCTAGACTGGCTGTCCAGCCAGCCCAGAGATTCTCTGTCTCTACCTCCAGTGCTAAGATTAAGTATATGCCACCATGCCTGTCTTTTTATGTTAGTGCTGCAGAGCCAGTTCAATTCCTTTTGCTTACATGGCAGCGTCATTAATAGAAGGCAACTTTTGTTTTTTTTTTTTCAAGATGGGGTTTCTCTGTGTAGCCCTGGCTCTCTTAGAATTTGCTTTGCAGATGAGGCTGGCCTCGAACTCAGAGATCCACCTGCCTGTGCCTCCCAAGTGCTGAGATTAAAGATGAGCATCACCACTGCCTGGCTAAAGAAATTTCTTTTAGCACTACTTTAGAACATGTTTTTTTTTTTTTTAACATTTGCAACGTTAAAAACTCATCCCACTATTTATAGAAGCATGAGTGTTGAAGTGTATTTAAAAAGTAGACTTTCCCAGTATCCTACTAAAATTCTTAAGGTAGGTGAAAGAGGGAAGAAAAGGTCAGAATATGGAAAAAAAAGGATAGACTCTCTCAGAGGAACCTTGGAAGATAAGGCCAAACTTGGGAGTTCTAAATGTAAAGCATCACAAGAGTTAAAAATAGAAATGATTGCATCAAACCATTCCAAACAGCATTCTATATTCGTTGAGGAGACAGTTTGTCTCTTACAGTATCCTGGTGGAACCCTTGTAACACTCCACCAAAACTTATTTATTGAGGTCAGGGTGGTACGGCATTTGTGATTCTTATGCTATGATCAGGACATAACTATGTACATGATGTGTTTCATGTTACAACATAGTTAGAAATGAATCCTATGATATGGTGAAAAAAAAAAAACAGACTTAGTTACAGACATTTAAAATTGCCTAAAGAACTTATACGCCTGTTGATGACAGGAGTAATTTATACCTAACATAGTTTTCTTGTGTTGGGGTCTCAGCTGACGAAACCACAGCCTTGGCACCCGGATATCGTTGATGTTCAGATTGTTACTATTGGGTCGCTGGCCATAGCTGCTGTCCCTGGGGAATTTACGTAAGTTCTTTATAAGAAAAAAAAATTCATAGTAAAAAACCAAACAAACCATATCTCCGTTGGAATTAATTTGTTTTAAAATAATTTCTTTATCTGTTTTTGTGCGTCTTGGGAGGGGCATGTGGGTGACATACTTGTGGAGGTCAGAGGATAAGTTGCTCATATCATTTCTCTCCTTTCAGCATATGGGGTCTGGAGATGGAACTCGGGTCATCAAACTTGGTGGCAAGCACCCTTACTTACTGAGGCATCTTGCTGACCCTGTGTTTAAATCTTAGGGGAAGATAATTCTCTGCCTATGCCTTGGTAGCCTAGTATACTGTGTTTGGCAAGAGTGAGAAAAAATTTTTCCTCCTTTGGTGGAGCCTCTAAAGAGCAAATCTGTCTCTGCTTATGACCTGTGGGGGGAAAAAATGAGGAAAACATGAAAAATTCACAACCCTGGCATTCCAACGGTAAAAGAGTACAGTAGATTATATTAGCACACAGACTTGAAATAATATTAAAACCCTGAAAGCATCAGTTTAAATATTAAAAAGACAGGAGAATGTGTTGAGCCTGTAAATTTTATAATCTTTCCCATTTCTGTAAGGGAAAGTTTGTTGAAATAGTCTTTGAATTCTCTTTCAAGAATTCACTAAATTCCTCTATTCTGCCCAACACATTCTGTCATCCCCCATCATCTCCATCATTCACTCAGTAACCTCCGGTTTGGGCTTCTTCATTAGTCCTTAGTAGTGCTTTCTCAGCAGAGCAGCCAGTTACATGTGTCACTCGAGTGGTACCCAGCCACACTGATGCCATGGCCTTTTAATACGGTTCCTCATGTTGTGGCGACCCCAACCATAAAATTATTTTCTCTCCTACTTCATAACTGTAATTTTGCTACCTTTCTGAATCATATTGTAAATGGTTTTGGAGACAGAGGTTTGCCAAAGCACTTGTGACCCACAGGCTGAGAACCACTGCTTTAAGCCAGGACCCAAACACGCCACTTCTCTGTTTAGGACCTTCCAATCCTTTCCCATCTTCTTCCAGCAATTCCCTCAAATCCTTCCAACTTCCCCGTAGTTCCTGAGAGTCTTCTGCTTCTCAGCAAGCTCCTTGGTATGATTTCTTTTGACTTTCCCTCTTGCTCCCCCTGCTTCAATCACCCTGAATCATTGTCAAGGTTTTCTGTATGGAGAGAACTACAGATGCACTTGCTAGATCCGCTGAGCACGTGCTGGGCCCAGGGACTTGGAATTTGTGGTTCATTTTGTAGGAAACACATTCTTTCCAGCTAGCCTCAGGGCTAAGTCTCTTAATTCTTTTTTTTCATCCTTTGCTCCAATCTCTAATAGAGATGCCAATTCGACTCATACTACATGAAATAATCTTTATCAACAATGACCAACCACGGTCACTCTCACATCAGCAGCAACACCAGCACCCCACTGCTATCATCACTCCCGTCATTCCCTTTCACCCTTACTCCACTTTATTATTCTCTGCTCATTGTTGCCCCACTCGCTCATTTATTTATAATGGATTCCATTCCATTAAATCAGTAGCACTTATAAGCAGGCCCAGTCAGCAGCAGATATTCAGTATTTTGCTGAAGGATTCCATATAAAAGTGAAACGGCAAGTTCTTTGTAGGTGGAGGGAAGTACCCAGGCTTCTCTCTGCCTCACCCTCATTCATGTAAGATGTAACTGGCACATTATGTTGATCCTGTGAAATAGAAGATGATGTTGTCATATTTTTGTGGCACCAGAGTGAATCCCTGGGCCTTGCACCTGTCAGGGAAGTCCTCCACTATCGAGCTACAGCCCAATTCTTGGTAGTCTTCTTCTCTCAGTGATGCTCATTGATTTTATTTCCCTCTATGGTCCAATTGTGTTCAGTTCAGGATTTGCTTTGAAGACAGGCCAGACAAGGGAAAAAGCTAAGCTTTTTTACAACACTGACTTTTACTTATTTTACTGCTCTGTGTTTCCGTGTTGAGCTAGGCTTTTTTTTTTTTTTTTTTTTTGGCATTTTTGAATGGTTTACATGCATTCCAAATGGGAGGATGGTTACACAGTTCTGTTTTCTTGACTCAGAACCATGTCGGGACGAAGATTTCGAGAGGCAGTTAAAAAAGTAAGTTAAATATGAAATACAATGCCTGCACATTTACATTTTTTGTTATAGTATTTTTTTTTTTTTTGAGACAGAGTTTCCTTTGTAGCCTTGGCTGTACTGGACTTGCTTTGTAGACCAGGCAGGACCCAAACTCACAGCGATCTGCCTGCTTCTGCCTCCCCGAGTGCTGGGATAACAGGTGTACATTGCTTCACCAGACTGCATGTTTACATTTGGCGAAGAGAAAAGTCTATTAAATTAGTCTTTCCTAAAATAACTAAAGCTTATCCTTCTTGACATTAGTGGATGGAGGTAAATTTGAAATATCAGTTATTTAAGAATCAGAACTAAAAGGTAAGGGAATTATAACCAGATTAAAACATTTCATTGGCATTTGTATTTAAATAATTAAAAATTGATAGTGTTTGTTATGATGTAAATAGTAAATTATATCTAGAGGTTGCTTAGAACTCCATGAATGATCTAAATAAAACCATCACATTTGGTGAGTTTTTTCCCTATATTTTTTTTTTCAGATTCAGGATGTATTAGAAATAGTTGTAAAATGATATACTAATAAATGTCTTGTCTTGATATTTGGGTCTAAAAAGCATACTTGAACTAAAATCTTTGACACCTGCACATTCCTTGGCAGTCTTGGTCATTGAGAAGATTTTTCTTAAGAGGTAGATCTACTGTCAAGAATTCATACCCAATGTGCACTTTAAATGGAGCTCAGAGAGTAGAAAACTTAAGAGGTATTAATTTTTCCACTTTTCCCTCCTAGGAATTTGCATCTTATGGGATGAAGGATATGACCATTATTATTTCAGGTCTAAGCAATGTTTATACACATTACATTACCACATATGAGGAATACCAGGTAAAGTAAAAAGTTCTCATGCCTTTTTCATTGCACATTTTTTCTAGACTTCTTCAGTCATGGCTCTGAGAGGTGTCTTTGTTTTAGGTAGGAATTCCAAGAGACTAAGCCAAGGATTATATTTGGTTTGGGGTTCATCACTTCCAAGTATGTGTCATCCTTATGGACTCACTGATTTCTGCCTTCTTCTGAAATTTGTTTTGTCAGGGACACTGGTAATAAAACTGGGTCATGACATGCAAATAACTACCCTTATTGCATTTCGTGTCTTAAGCTTCTGTAGGATCCGTCATCTTCTGTTTATTGAATGCACCAGCTAAGAACTTTGCGAGCGTAGCTGTACAGTGTCCTTGCTGTACATCCTGAAGTAGAATATTTATCTATGATGTGACTCAAAAACAAAATTTATCTATGATGTGACTCAAAAACAAAACAAAACAAAACAAACCCTCTCACAATTAGGAATTTGGTGACCAAGATTACTTCTTATTTTTTTATAGGCAGTTCTGAAAGCAGCCCAGATATTTTTTAAACAATAACTAGTTAAATACAACAATAGCCTAGAGATCCACAATTAATGGTTATGAATAGATCTTATGGCACCTCATGGCAGTCCATATAGGAGCATAGAGCAGTCCCTTGTCAAATATTTAGTGATACAAGTATACAAGCATTGGAATCTGTCCTGCTGCCCTCTGTTAGCTTTGCTGAAGGATTCTGACTTCTAGGAAACCTTAGTTGTGTTAGTCATCTTCTCAACATTATAACTGCCTGAGACCACAGCTTATAAAGAGAACGGTAGTGTTGGCTTACAGTTTTAGAGGCTTCAGTCCATAATATTATGCACGCAGAGCTTTTGGGTGTTACTGGGTATATGGGTAGATATGAGAGGTCATGGTGGAGTGAACTTCTTTGTTTCATAGCCATGAAGGTAAATGAAAAAAGAGTCCCTTCCAGGACACGACCCCATGACCTGAAGACCTTCTAGGCTACACTTCCTGTGGGTGCCACCAACTCCTTGTAACATTTTCTTTAGAACCAAGACATCAGCACATGCAACTTTGGGGGTGCATTTCAGATCCATATGATAGTATTGTCGGGTGAAAATTCTTAACCTGGGTTAAGAACAACTGAACGTTTCCCAAGGCTCGCTGTTATTTAGCATTCCCTTCAACAAACAGCAGTAATGCTAACAGCACCCACGACTTTGTCACCCAGTCCTTACAGACCTAGAAACAGCTTTTATTCTCTTTCTTCTGTGAAAATTACAGGAGTTACTAGGTCTGCCTTCATCAAACTATCTGACAGTGCAAAAAAGAGGCAGATATTATTTTGTAAATTTGGTTACCGAAGGTTGATGAAGGTATTCCCATCCAATTTGTGTTGCTCAATTTTAAGTGTTTTGTTTTATGCACTTAAAACCCCATTATTCTGCCAGGTGTTCTACAGGTCTCAATAGACTTCCAAAGTCCATGGCACAAACAATGTTGGGAATCCCTGCAAACGTGTTTCCCTATCTAGGATTATGTTTCTGCAAAGTTTACTCTTGACTCATTCATTGATGTGTACCATAGACACTGCTAGTCATTTTCAGGGAAAACAATAACAAAAACAATCTGCTTTTTCCATGATGTTCCATCAGAGATAGAGGAGAAAGCAGATAAAGATGAGAACTGGGACCCGAAAAGATGGCCCAACAGTTAAGGCCACTGAAAGGTGGAAGACCCAGGTTCGGTTCCTAGCACTTGCATGGATGCTCAGAAGCACCTGTAACTCCAGTTACTACCAAAACAAACAAACAAACAAACAAACAAACAAACAAACAGAAAAAACAAAACAAAACCACTAAGTAAAAGAACAAAACCAAACAAATATTTAAAACAAAAGATGAGGACTAGCAGGCATTTATCTGAGTTTTTGACAATATGTTAGGGTCAGTCAAGCAAGTAAAAAGTTACAAATCTCTTCTACATTGAGCAGGCATGTACACAAAATCCAGAGACTAGACATAGCACATTAATGGGCTATGGTCAACAGAGGGCTAGAGAGGGAGGCAGGGTGAGTGAAGGGAGGAGTCCCTTGTGTAGTTTATTCAAGTACTGACTGTTGAGAAGGTTTTGGAGAGAGTGTTTTGATTCACCCTATGGTATCTATGGGAAGGTAGTGTTGGTAATCAAATTCTGTCTCCACACAGAGGCGTTAGAGTTAGGATCTGGGTGGGAAATGAAAGTTTACACAGAGGTAAGGCCAAGAGGAAAGGAAAACAGAAAACTTTGAGAACAATTTTAAGGCGGTATAATGACACACTCTGCAGATTTATATAATGTAGGATGAGGGAGAAAGACAGGTGGCCTATGACGGTTGCCAACAGATCACCATGGAGATACTGCCAGGGTGGCATGAGGGATACTGCAGGGAGAGCTGGTGTTTCTGGGATCATGAGGGGTCTCATCCACTGATGGCTTTGAGGTTCTTGAAGAGCCACAAAGGCAGGGAGTTCGTAATGATATGCATTTCACGGCTCCATGGTGTGGTCAAGTCCTTCCGCGGAAGGGACCATTAGCAGCCAGCTTATCTAGGAATTATTAAACAGGATACTTTCAACCCTCATTTTCTCTTCTGATGTTCAACCTGGGGGAGATCACTAATAGTGCAAGAACTGAATAATAGACACAGGCATGCAAAGTGGGAGATGGTAATATCTTTCAGATGAAAAGAAATGGTAGCCTAACTGGAATAAGCAGAAAGAGCTCATCGCCTTTACAAAGATAAAAGATGCGACCACTCGCTTTGGCTGGTTAGTGGAAAATGCTCTCTGTTTCCACAAAAACCACTGTGTATTTACAAATTTTGAATACTGTGAGTGGTCCAGACACCACTTTGCTGAAAATGCTATACTTCTATAAACAGATTGATGTTTGCAAAGCTGTCTGTACCTCTTCTTGTGTTTCCTGCAGGCTCAGCGGTATGAAGCAGCATCTACAATCTATGGCCCACACACTCTGTCTGCGTACATACAGTTCTTCAGAGACCTTGCTAAGGCGATTGCTACGGTAATCAAATCATGTGTGCGAGTGTGCCAGTGTGTGTGTGAGTCTGTGTCTGTGTTTGCCTTCAGGGCAAGGAGGCATAGACTAAAGAAAGAGCCTTAAATACATGTAAAATATAATTTAAAATATAAAAATATACATATAAAATATATCATTTGAATAATTTTTATATTACATGCACTTTCCTTTAGGAAAGAAAACTGGAACACACAATATCACTAAGGAAATAATTCCGTGTTTATTGATAATAAAATTTTAAGTTCAATCAATACCATTTAGTGGTGGCATTTCTTTTTTTTAATGATTTTTTAAAATTCTTTATTAATTACACTTTACTCACTTTGTATTCCCCCTGTGGTTCCTTCCATCCTCCCATCCCAATTCCTCCCTTCCTCCACCCTCTGCATGCATGCCCCTCCCCAAGTCCACTGATAGGGGAGGTCTTCTTTTCCTTCCTTCTGATCCTAGTCAATTAGGTCTCATCAGGAGTGGCTGCATTGTCTTCTTCTGTGGCCTGGTAATGCTGCTTCCCCCTCAGGGGGAGGTAATTAAAGAGCAGGCCAATCAGTTCATGTCAGAGGCAGTCCCTCCCTGTTCTTATTATAATGATGGCTCAGAGGTTAGGAGCACTGGCTACTCTTTCTGAGGTTCTGAGCTCAAGTCCCAGCAACCACATGGTGGCTCACCATCATCTATAGTGAGATCTTGTGTCCTCTGCTGGTGTGGGCAGATAGAACATAATAAAGGCATTTCTTGGCACATGAATGGGGGTAGGGGGGTCAGTCTCCACTGTGAGGTTTTGTTTTGTTTTTTAACAAATGCTCTCTGTTTCAGGACACAGTAGCCAACATGAGCAGTGGTCCTGAGCCTTCACTCTTCAAAAACCTGATCCCTCCACTTATTCCTAATGTTGTGGATAGATCACCAATAGGCAGGCATTTTGGGGATGTCCTGGAGCCAGCAAAACCTGAATACAAACTGGTAAGCCTCACAGGAAAGCCACTGGATGTTTTAGAAATTTGCTTCTGACGTGAAAGATACCGCTTGACATCATCACCTGCTTCCAGTGGTTACATATCCTAGCTTCAGCAATGATGCTTCTGACAGTCCCACAGGCTAGCTTCAGCAATGGGGATATTGACAGTCCCACAGGCTAGCTTCTGCAATGCTGCTGACAGTACCACAGGCTAGCTTCAGTGATGGTGATATTGACATCTATTTCCATATTTGCAGAGAGTCTGCAAAAGTGAGGAGAGTGGGAAACACTGCTTCCTCTTCCCCCGCGCTGGTTAACTTTACTAAATTGAATTTCCAAACTGCAAACTATTCTTTTTATTAAATAGATAGCCAAAGAGCCATACACAGGAGCAGGGCCAACTAGTCTTTTAGATCAAGGGACAGAAAAGCACACACAAATGAAGCAGGACCGGTATTGCTATATTTTATGTTGATTTTGTATACTGCATCCTTGCTGAATAATGTATTAATTCTGTCAGGTTTTCTTTTTCTTTTCTCTTTTGTCATGAATTCCTTAAGGATTATTTATGCATCTATTATATAATCAGCAAACGAAATAAGTTTACTTATTCATTTCTAGATTTCTCTTTTTTTTTTTTCTAATGAAGATGACTAAGCTTCATAGTCATGCTCCATTAATTAGTGAATGATGTAGAAGACGGTGCTAGTTTCTCATCACTGAGGTAAAACAGCCGAGAAAGCAACGGAAGGCACGGGTATCAGTTGATTTTCTGACTGCTGTGACAAAGTATTTGACACGGCAGCCCAAGGATGACAGAGTATGTTCTGGGTCACGAATGGAGGATGCGCTCCACCATGGAGGGGAAGCCATGGCCACAGCATGTGCTCCTGATCACGCTGCGCGCATGGCCAGGAGCAGAGGGGCAAACATTCACACATGTACACACACACACACACACACACACACACACGTTACATTTTGTTGTTATTTGCTCCCCACTTCCCTCCCCAAAGTCTCCTCAAACTTGCTTTTTACTGATGAGAGCTGGGATGAATCCTGACCCTTGGCTTGTCCTACTGATTTCCTGTTAGCGCTTGTAGAGTCCCTGTGACGCTAATGTGTCTTTGCTAAGTGCCATGGGAATCATATTCCAATGTCTAACCACAGTCTCAATCCCAACTGAGTTGATGCAACAAAATATTCATGAGTTGGAACAACCAAACTGGGGATGGAATAAAGAACAAAAGCTTCCGAGGCCTGTGATTAGGCAGAGTGTAGGCAAAGCTGGAGCCTTCTTATGTGGATTTGTGCTTGTTTCTGTGCTGTACAAATGGTTTCTTTTGAATAATTTTATTAGCATATAAAGAGATAGAAAGAAAGTGGTCTGAAGGGAGGGTGGAAGTGGGAACATGGGAGGGAAATAGAATATGTATGTCATCAAAGCAGAAGGGAAGAAGAAACATTCAGTAATAAGAAGATCTAGGAGACAAATAATAAGTATATACATATTATTATATATATGTATGTATGTATGTATTTGTTTCAATGTCACAAAGAAACTTAGCTCATATCTATGTTTAAGCCCCATGGATTTTTCTACTTTCATGTCACATATCAATATTTATTTACATGTATTTATTCTGTACCCACATGCGAGGCAAAGCATGTCATGTTTGTCTTTCTGAGTCTTGCTTCATATGTTTAATTCCATGATCACCAGTTCTATTACATTTCCTGCAAATTTATTTCTCCTTCATAAGGGCATAAAACTCTATTGTGCTGCATTTAATCTATTCATCTGTTAATGAACATGTAGGATGATTTCCTGTCTTAGCTCTTGCCCATAGTCCTGCAATAAACACAGATACACAGATATTTCCCTGATATGCTGAACTGGTTAGTTCTTGTCACCAGGAAGAGGGAACCTGCAGAATTTCCCTCCTCGGATTGGTCTACGGGCGTGTCTGTGATGAACGCTCAGTGTGGAGGGAGCCCACTGAGGGCAGTGCCGCTCCCGAGCAAGCTGTCCTTGGTTGTGTAAGAAAGCAGGCCCTGCAAGCCTTGGGGAAGCAAGTGTCACTCCTCCTTGGTGTCTGCTTCGGTTCTCAACTCCAGGCCGCTGCTTGGAGTCTCTGCTCTGAATTGCTTCAAGGATGAGCTGTAAAGTATAAGACCAATAAACCATTTCTTCCCAAGGTAGTTTTTGGTCAACCTTTTACCACAGCAATAGAGAACCGGGCTGGGACATCTGCTGACTTGGAATTCTTGTATATGCCCAGGGGTGGTAAAGCTGGATCATCTCTTAGCCCCAGCCTTAATTTCTGAGAAGACTAGCTACTGATTGTACAGGCTGCCTCAGAGAACATTTCCAATAGCAGGCAGCAAGGGACTCTCTTTCCCTCATCCTCCCCAGCAGCTGCTTTGGCTGCTGTAGCCAGTCCAGCTGGCATGAGATAAAAATCTCAATGTGGTTTTAAATTGTATTTCCCTGACAGCTAATGATGTTGAGTGTACTTTAAGAAAACATCTCTAGGACATTTGTCTTTCTCCCTTTCAGAACGTTCATTAGCTCATTTATTGATTATAGATGATTCGCTTTTTGGTGTTTAATTTCAGGAATTTAAATTCAGGAATTCTTCTCTAGAGCCTAGATTTGAATGCGTAATCAGACCTTATGATGACTAATGTTAATTATCAAACTTGAAAAAAATTAGGATCACCTGGGAGATAGACCCGTGCACATGCCCGTGGAGAGTTATCTTGACTGTGTTAACTGATGTTGGAAAACCCAGCTTTTCTTTCTCTGATTTTAACATATTTACTTATTATTTATTAATTTTTTTGCACTTTAAATATATTTTAGGAGAGGCTACTGTGGTATAATTCCCAGTAAAAGTTACCATTGAGGTATATACTTCTTTAAGTTTTTGTTATTAAATGAATTTGTTATTCAGTGATTTCAGACGTGAATAGATTGCTTTCTGATTACTCCCCACTCTCTCTTATCTCTTTCCCCCTCATGTCAGCACTCCTTCCTCCCTGTAGGTCTGTTCCCGTGTTTGTGTCTTTTTGTTTTGCTTTATGTCCCGCTGAGTTTAATCAGCACCATCTGTATGACCGTGGGTATAGAATCAGACAGCAGAGCCAGGTGGGCACATCAGTGGGTACACATCTGAACATAATGACTGCCCATCACCTAGAATCCATATATAGCCACAGGGCTAGAAGAAATGGGTAGGGCCCCATGAGAACCCTCCGTGTTTTGATTAGCTTTTGACAGGTCCAGTCTTGTGCAGGCCCAGGGCAGCTGCTGTGAGTCGACATTGCAGTGGCTGCGTCAAAATAGCATTTCAAGGTCCTCCTCCCTATCCTCCGGCTCTTACCATCTTTCCACCCCTTCTTCTGTAACACCATTCCCTGAACTCTGTAGGACTCTCAGCACCTTGAGCAGCCAGGAGTCTGGCATGCACTGCTATTCATGGTACAGAGAGGCTTTTCTGATTAAAGCTAAGAGAAGCATTTGTCTATGCTTATATCAGTGTTTAGAAAAGTTGGACACAATGTCAATCTTAGGCAGGAGCATTTTGGGGGAAAGGAGATCCGGGTCTGTATAAAATGGAGAAAGAGAGGGGTTGAAGTAATGGTTTAGCAGTTAGGAGTGTGCACTCCTTATCCAGAGAACACAAAGTTGGTTCCCAGTACCCACATCTGCTGGCTCTCACTTGGAACCCCAGTTCCAAAGGAATCTGAGGCATCTGGCCTCTGCAAGCACCCACACCCATGAAGATATCTACAAATAGACATACACACATAAATAAAAATAAAATAAATATTCAAGCAAATGTAGAGCTTGATCTCAGTGCTGCCTTGATGTGTACCTTTGAACTGTGAGCCAGGACAAGTTCTTTCTCCCATAGGTTGCTTCTGTCAGGGAATTTTATCATAGGAATAGGATAAGAAACTTTGACAGATAGACAGTTGGCAACGATTTGGGGCCTCTTCACTCCATTGATGGTTTCTTTTGCTGTACAGAAGAAACTTTCTAATTTCATGCAATCCCATTTGTTAATTTAGGGATTATTTCCTTTGCTATTGGAGGTCATTTCTGAGGCTGTCTTTTCTCCAGTTAATGTTTTGATGCCTTTGTCAATGACTGAGTGGCTGTAGCGGTGTGGGTTCACTTCTGATTTCTCTGTGGTCTATGTAGCTGTTTTATAATAGGGCTCTGTGATATAATTTGAAGCCATTTTAATGTATTATCACATTAAAAATTAGAGCTCTGGGCCTTTATCTATATCAGAATCTGCCAAAATAAAATTCACTGGATCCAATTCCTAACAAACTTAGGAGAGAATCCCTTAATGAAATAGAGTGGAATGTGTACAGCGCCTAGGGTGTTAGAATGTATAACGGGTAATGCTTCAAACAGGAATGTAGCAGAGATGCTTGCTTTCGATTTCATGAAATGCCATTTGTATTTTCAGGGAGAAGTGGTTGAAGTTGTATTTGTGGGAGCTAACCCAAAGAATTCAGCAGAAAACCAGGTGAGCGTCATTGTCTTCCAAACTTATGTTGACTTTTACAGTTTCGCTTCACTTTACAGGAGAATCTCACATGCCCAAAAATGTATCAGGGTCCTTTTCCTACTTGATTTGGGGAGGTGGGGAAATGTTCGGTGGGTCCCGCTAGCGTGGATGTGGAACGCAGTACATGGGACGATGGCACGATGGCAGTGAACTCGGCATAGTGTCATGTGAAGAACAGCTTCAAGGCCACGCTGCTTCTCCAGAAGACATGGATTCAAAGACACCCTCATTCACATATTTAAATTTAGAACTTACTAAGTTTGTTAGCGATTTTTCCCTACTTTTGAGGACCTTTCTGAGCCCTCCCGCATTGCTACTCTGGACCTGGCTCTTTTGCTGTGGAGTGATCACATACTGGTACCTGCCCAAATGACATGCTCTGTCCTATGGGCTTTACAGTATTTTACATCGGCCATTTTACTGTTCTTTACTATTGGCACAATAGTAAATAGTTTATTTATATTATTTATTATATACTTATAGTATGTATATATTTATTAATCAACACATTAATTAGCATAGCAATTGTATTTGTATATTTATTAACATATATTAATAATATTAATATTTAAAGCAATATATTTATTGATATATAACAATATATTAGTAGAGTAATTAATATATTTATAGTATAATTATATATTTTATATTTATCATAAATACATTATATTTATTAATAGTAAATAGTTTATTTCTTAACCTTGAGAAAAGACATAAGAAATATGTGCCCAGTGTAAAAACAAATAGCATATTGATAAAATAGAACATGTAAGTGTGTCTTTTCCCACAAATCTGTTTTTAGAGTTAATTACTGTTAATAATTTGTTATTGTTAATGTTATTAAAATAAAAAACATGTCCTGTTCTTTATTTTATGATGTATATAGTAAACCACATACACATATATAAACTGTCTAGAAATGAAATGAGATAACTTTAGTCTCCTGTAATTTCCTTAGAATTGTCTTAAAATTCAAACAAAATGATAGGACAGGTTGTGTCTCTAAAAATTAAACAGACACAGTGGCACACAGTTGTAATCCCAGAACTTGGGAAGAAGAGGCTGGATAACCACGAGTTGGATGCCAGCCATTGCTATATAGCAAGACCTTGTCTCAAAAACTAAAGAAACTGGATGGTAAAGTTTGTAAAGATGCTTTTTTCCGTCCTGGGGAACCTGAGTTCAGTCTGGGGAGGGGAAGGAGAGGCTCAACTAGGGCAGGCTATCCTCTGACCTACACATGTGTTCTGTGGCGCGCACACACTTAAGTTTGTAAGTAAATACAAACTTAGACTAAACAAAACAAAAGAAGGTAACAGCCGCTGCTACAAACTCACTGCAAAACTTAAAGAAATTTTTTGGAGAAAAGTAGGCCCATGAAAGTGGCTTTTTAGGTCACTTCTCCGAGTACTGAGAATGAAGCCATTGTGTGGTGAGCCATTCTTCTTAGGGCCCATAATCACTTATAGTCCCAAACCCCTTCCTCCTAGATGAGCTGTGTGGTTTCTGTCTATTCAAATGCCGTTACTTCCGTGGTTGGCGGTATGAGGCCATGACATAAGGTTTGGGAGAAATGTTCTCATGCTTGGACAGTGTGCACCTGTGAGCAAACTCCCCTGCCCCAAACATTTGCGTGCTCCTAATACCACCTTTTGAAGAGGTTAAGCCCAACATCCCCACAGTACCCTCATCACCATTGCCGCGAGTATGGAGTGCTAACAGCATCACAATGACAAGAGATTTTATTTCTCAGAATACTCTGAAATGGTGCAAAACAATTTCTCGTGCCTCTTCATTGTCTGCGAACATCAGTTTTCATTATCCCTAATTCCTGAGCAACCGTTGTCTCCAGGTATTAGGCTAGATGTTTGGTTTTTTTTTTTTTAATTTTTTTATTTAACTTTTTATTTTTATTTTCTTAATTACACTTTATTCATTTTATATCCCCCCATAAGCCCCTCCCTCCTCCCCTCTTGATCCCACCCTCCCTCCCCTTTCTGCATGCATGCCACTCCCCAAGTCCACTGATAGGGGAGGTTCTCTCTCCTTTCTGATCTTAGTCTATCAGTTCTCATCAGGAGTGGCTGCATTGTCCTCTACCGTGGCCTGGTAAGGCTGCTCCCCCCTCAGGGGGAGGTGATCAAAGAGCAAGCCAATCAGATTATGTCAGAGGCTGTCCCTCTTCCCATTACGGCTAGATGTTTTTTTATACATGCATTTAATCACTGCTGTCACTATAAGACAGTGATTACTGTCTTATTGTCTTTACTTTACACACAAGTAGACTCTGTGGCAGAGCATTTAATGTGCAGCAAAATGTACCCATAAAAGATTATGATAGGGAGGTAGAGAAAAGTTAATCCCAAGTTTTGTCCCTGATAGTTTGGGGGCCTACATATGCTTTCCACCCTTTCTTCTAGACCTAGTTATTGGGGGCTATTCTACCTCATATTTCATCTATCCCCCTTCTCCAAGGCCTTTATGCCCTCAGTGTGCAGAAACATACACCTCTTTATTAGCTATCATGATTATGAGCACTTCCTTATTAAAGGTCATGTATCAATGTAATAATTAGAGAATTATTTTAAACAATGACATGATCAAAATATAACTAAGTAATCCATTTATCAAAGTTGTTGGAAGGCTTGTAAATGGTAGGTATAAAGGGTTGTGAAGAGTAAAGAGGAATTAGACACAACTCTTATTTGCATGTGTTCACGTGGATGCGTGCACATATGTGTGCTCTGGAGGCATGCTCGCAAAGGCCAGAGGCCAACATTGGCTGTCTTCCTCCTTTGCTCCCCATCTTTTGTTTGTTTTGAGAGAGGGCCTCTCCCTGAACTTGGAGCCTGAAGGTGGCCACAGCGAGGGGATGGCAAGCACTCCTGCCATGCACATGGACATCCAAACTCAGGTCCTCATCCTCTCACAGCGAGCAAATTTACTGACTGACCCATCTCCACTGCCCCGCAAGTCCGGTCTTTAAGGGAGGCAGTGTAAAAGTCTTGATAGTAATGGACACCTCTGGCCTTTTTGTTTATTAGCTTGTCATAGTTTGCAAGTCTTTGCTTTATTTGAAGCTGGATTCTTGGTCTAAAACAAATTGCTTTATTACGGTTATCTTCCAGTGTAGAAAGATGCTCTGCTTACGTTATGGCCTCCAGGCATCTATTACTACACAGTGTAGAAGCGTCTTTAGAAGGCCAGGATAGGGGCAGTTTACGCGTTTTTCGACTTTTTGACTCCGGAGGGTAGGGAACCCTAACTAATAATTTGGCCACCAGAAGGCACAGAAAGATGAAGCACCATTTCCTCTCCTCCATCATGTGGTGTCTAGAGAAAGTCTTGCACTCCTGATCCTGACTTACACCTTTTAAAAATCTCATTTCATTTTAAATTTCCTCTCAACCCTAATTTCCAAACTGGATGTGAACACCATAATTATACTTCTTTAAAATTCCTATTATACTTCTTAAAACGCCCATGTTCCTTTTTTTAGGGGGGGGGGACTATTATCTTGAAGACACTGGGTCAAGGGGGTTGCCTAGGAATTTGGGTGAAATCCTAATGTGCGTGCACAGCAGGCATTGGTGAGTTGGGGTGTAGTAAGGGGAGGCATTGCAGGCCAGCTCTCACGGTGGCTGTGTTGCGCCTGATAAGTGCTTAATTGTATTTCAGACCCATCAAACCTTCCTCACTGTGGAGAAATATGAGGACTCGATAGCCGACTGGCAGATAATATGTAATGATGCCTCCTGGGAGACGAGGTAAACATGTCTATTGATTATTCGTCTTGGAAGCCTTGAAAACAGCTGCTTCATTTTGTGGGAAGGGCAAAACTAAAAGACTTCTCAGTACACGATATTAACGATACCAAATTCCCCTGGCTCTTTCTGGCCACACTTAATTGATTTATTAGTCTCTGTTTGATTGTAATGACTGAAAGCAGCACAGCGTAGGCTTCTCTAGGATTAGGTGCTAGTGAGGTGTTAGCTGCCATTCTCTGGCTTTTATTTTGGTGGTGTTAGGGTTAGAATCTAGAGTCTGCTACATAGTAGGAAATATGTGCTGAATCTCTGAGCTATGAACCCATCCAGCTTCCATCAACTTTGTTTTTCCATGGTCACAGAGATTCCTTGAAAGACTAGCCAGCCTTTTTGTGAACTGGCTGAGAAGTGTACTGGGTGGAGGATGATTCTGTAGAGTTCATTGTAAAGGACCTTCACCTCCTTGGTTAGGTTTATCTGTAGATATTTTATTTTATTTTTCTGGGCTATTTTGAATGGGCATGTGTCTGTGATCTTTTTCTCGGTGTGTTTATTGTTGGTATATAGAAAAGCTATTGAGTTTTGTAAGTTGATTTTGTATACTGCCACGTGGCTTAAATTGTTGATCGTTTCAAGAAGGTGTCGGGTGTAATTTTGGGATCTCTTATGTATCATAGCATATCATTTGCAAAGAGGAAGAGTGTGACCTCTTCTTTTCCTATTTGTATCCCTTTAATTTCCCTTTCCTGCTCTTATTTCTCCAGCTAGTGGATAGAGCACAATATTGAGAAGGGGTGGGAATAGCAAACATCCCTGACTCATTCCTGATTTCAAGTTGTTGAGCTCTTCTTAAAGTTAAATTCTTTAACTTTGGTGCTTTCACTGGATCTAGAAATTCGTCCATTTCTTTTACATTTTCTAACTCAATGGAGTACTGGTTTTTAAAGTCATCTCTTTGTATATTGTGGATCTCTTTGGTGTTTATTATAATATTTCCCTGTTCATTTCTAATTCTGCTAATGTCTGTCCTTCTGTTGTGAGGTCCACTTAAATCCAACATAACTCAAACACCAGGTGACAAAAATTTATTGTATTCGAGCTGCTACTCAGGGCTGCAGAACAGACTCAGGAGCTGAACTGTGACCCTGATGGGATCTTGTCTAGCATATTTAAAGGACGAAACCATAAAGTTAGAGGCAGCGGGATGGGCTTTAGCATCGTCCGATCATATTTTGACATAAGGGGTTGAGCAAGGGAGTTTACATAAATCAGGATGGAACTAGGTTCCTGAGCCTGAGAACATGAACTTGTTTGACCCTGCCAGCAAGATGGAGAAGTTGTCCTTTAGAAGTCTGGACTCAGACTACTGTCTCTTTACATCTCGGAGATGTCTGGACTCAGACAACTTTTTATTTATTTTTTATTTCTTTAACAACAGAAGCTGTTCAGCAATTGGGAAGTCCCCAGCTCCCCTAGGTCCTGGGACCTTGAGCATAGTTTCTCTCTATGATTAAATGGAGTTTGAAAATGAAATGGTGCTAATTAGAATAAGTTTCTTTTGCTTGTTCCCAACCCTTTCTTCTTTCTTTCTCCTTCCTTTCCTCTCTCTCTCTCTCCTTTTCTCCCTCCCTCCTTCCATCCCACCTTCTTCCTTTTGGTTAGTTGGTACAAGAGTCTGTTGATCTTGTTTATCTTCTCAGGGAATCAGCTTTTAGAGTTGTTTAATTTCTTGGTATTTTACTTGTTTCTATTTAATTAGTTTCAGCTCTGATTTTGATTATTATTTATTTTATCATCTAAGGTGAGTTTGGGTTTGTTCTTGTTTTTCCAAATGTTTGAGTTTCATCATTAAGTCATTTATTTGTGTTTTTTCTGTTTTGTCGTTTTGCTTTTTTGAGACAGAGTTTCTCTCGATGGCCCTGGCTGTCCTGGAACTCGCTATATAGACCAGGCCAGCCTCAGACTCACAGAGACCCACATGCTTCTCCCTCTCACACGCTGAGATTAAAGGCGTGCGGCACCACACCTGACTCTCAATTTTTAAATTTTTTTATTTTTATTAATTACACTTTATTCACTTTGTATCCCCCCACCCTCCCTCCTCCCCTCCCAGTTCCACCCTCCCTCCCCCTTCTTCATCCCTCCCCAAGTCCACTGATAGGGGAGGTCCTCCTCTCCTTCCTTCTAATCTTAGTCTATCAGATCTCATCAGGAGTGGCTGCATTGTCATCTTCTGTGGCCTGGTAAGGCTGCTCCCCCCTCAGGGGGAGGTGATCAAAGAGCAGGCCAATCAGATTATGTCAGAGGCAGTCCCTCTTCCCATTACTATGTAACCCACTTGGACACTGAACTGCCATGGGCTACATCTGTGTAGGGGTTCTAGGATATCTCCATGCCTGGTACTTGGTTGGAGTATGAGTCTCTGGGAAGACCCCTGTGTTCAAATTTTCTGGTTCTGTTGCTCTCCTTGTGGGGTTTCTGTCCTCTCCAGATCTTACTATTTCCCACTTCTTACATAAGATTCCCTGCACTCTGCCCAACAGTTGGCCATAAGTCTCAGCGTCTGCTTTGATAGTCTGCAGGGCAGAGGCTTTCAGAGGCCCTCTGTGGCAGGTTCCTAGGTTGTTTCCTGTTTTCTTCTTCTTCTGATGTCCTTCCTCTTTGCCTTTCGGGATGGGGATTGAGCGTTTTAGTCAGGGTCCTCTCTCTTGATTAGTTTCTTTAGATGTACAGATTGTAGTAGGTTTATCCTATGTTATATGTCTATATGAGTGAGTATATACCATGTGTGTCTTTCTGCTTCTGGAACAGCTCACTCAGGATGATCCTTTCCAGGTCCCACCATTTACCTGAAAATTTCATGATTTCCTTATTTTTCATTGCAGAGTAATACTCCATTGTGTAGATGTACCACAATTTCTGCATCCATTCTTCAGTTGAGGGGCATCTGGGTTGTTTCCAGCTTCTGGCTATTACAAATAAAGCTGCTACAAACATGGTTGAGCAAATGTGAACTTGAGCCTCTTTTGGGTATATGCCTAGGAGTGATATGGCTGGATCTTGAGGAAGCACTATTCCTAGTTGTCTGAGAAAGCGCCAAATAGATTTCCAGAGTGGTTGTACAAGTTTACATTTCCATCAGCAGTGGAGGAGGGTTCCCTGTTTTCCACAACCTCTCCAACATGTATTGAGATTACGCTGAGATCAAAGGTGTGCGGCACCATGCCTGACTCTCATTTTTTAATGTAGACATTTTAATGTGTCCTAGAGTCTTTTGTTGTATTGCACTTTCACTTTCCATTAGTTCCAGGTATTAAATTTCTTTCTTTTTTTCTTTCTTTCTTTCTTTCTTTCTTTCTTTCTTTCTTTCTTTCTT